GGCATCAGACTGCTGGCCTCAAGAAAGCCACAAACCCAATCCAAATAATAGAGGGACCACTTCTGTTGGAAGAATCAAACATTCTTCACCGTACTTGTCCCAGCTATAGTTGGTAAGGATCACTCCGCTAATAGGAAGCCTATCTTGAAGGTGTCTTACTATCAGTGTTAAAACCACAGAGAAAAGACAGAATGTTTTTTAATATAACTCAATGCAGCAAAATCTTATAACAGATTCTGCTCTTCCTTTTAGTTCAAAATCTGGAAAGCTCACTGGCCAGCACCTCCCCATCCTTATGCCACAGGAAGAGCACAGTTCATTGTTAGTTTCTCCTTAAACACAAACTTAAAAACGATTGGCTGAACATGCAGGAACAAGGAAAACCTGACTGAAGAATGAAGCCTTTACACTTAAGGGCCTTGGGTCCGCGTGAGGTGGCTCAGGTCTGTAATCACACAACTTTGGGAGGCAGAGGTGGGTCATTCGACGTCAGGAGTTCGAGACCAGCCTGGCCAACATGGTGAAAGTAAACAACACAAAAGTTAGCCAGGCATGGTGGCAGGCGCCTGTAATCCCAGCTACTCGGGAGGCTGAGGCAGGAGAATCGCTTGAACCCATGGATTGTCAAGAGAAAGAGGCTGCAGTAAGCCGAGATCGCCCCACTGCACTCCAGCCTGGGCGACAGAGTGAGGCTCCATCTCAATAAGGGCCTGCCACCATGCCCAGCTAACTTTTATATTTTTAGTAGAGACAGGGTTTTACCATGTTGGCCAGGCTGGTCTAGAACTCCTGACCTCAGGTGATCCACCCCCTCCTTCAGCCTCCCAAAGTGCTAAGATTACAGGAAAGGGCCACTGCGCCCTGTCAAAAACCCGAAAATCTTAAAGGCCTTTCCCCTTCCCCGCCTGGGCTCAAACAACAGCTGGAGCCGCCCTGCCACACCCCGTGGCGGTTCTCGGGAACAGGCCGGCTGACTGAGGGCGATCAGTCCCCGAAAGGGCTGCGGGCGACGCGGGCTCCCAGCTCGGGGCTCCGGGACGAGGGCGAGAGGTGCCAGCAGCCCCCAAGCCAGCCCCCCGCAAGGAGATAGAGAGACGCGCCCTCCGCCTCCTCCCACCGAAGCCCCCGGCAGTCCCGGCGATCGGGGCGGGCCAGTCACAGGAGAAAGGGGCGCCTTCGCCCCTCCCGGGGAACCGGGGCCTCTCCCGGGCAGGCTCCCCTTTGTCCGGGTACTTCCGGAGCCTCCTCTCCACCCTTGCCCTGCCCCTTGGGGCCGCCGCTGAGCGCTGACACGGACACGGACCCACAGACACGGACATCTTATCCTCATCTCCGGCGGCAGGGCGCGGAAGGTGAGCCGGTCAGGAGCCGCTGTTATGGCCGCGACCACCCGGTGGGGCCGCTCGGCGGCGCTCTCGCGGCTCCGCCTCTTACCGCTGCCTTTACTCTAGTCGGAGCACGGCAGGAAAACCGCAAAGGACACCGAGGCGTCTGCCGGGAGCTGTGGGGCATCCCCTGGGCGGCTGCTCCCCTTGTAACCAACTCCACCCACAGGAGGCGCGGCTCCTGTGAAGCGGCAGCTTAAAAGGGCAACAGCATCACCGCCCCGCCCCCGCTGCCGCCTGGGAAGGGGCTGCCTCCACCCCGTCCCCCTCTCTCTCACCCCTCACCCTTGACCCCTCACCCCTCACTCCCGCGCTCCCCGTGAGCACCCATTTCCGCGGGTGCAGGAGTCCAGAGCATGGGCGCGCTTCGGGCTGCCCTCTGCTCGCCTTGACCCAACGCTACTGGACCCATCTGGTCCGTTCCACACACTGGCAGACTGGAGGCTCCGGGCGGCACAATGGCCAATGTGTGTGTGTTTTGTTGGGGAGGCACAAAACCACCAACTCGTGTGTGTGTGTCTCCCAAGGGAACAGCACTGCTGAGTTCAGGCTGAGTATTAGCTCGTGGACTGTCAGCAAAATACAGTCACAAGAAGGCTATGTGCTGTTTTGTCTTTTGCAGTAACATCATGTTTGCAGTGACATCATGTTGCTCATGTTTTATGTTTTTCAGAGTTCATTAGTTTCTGTTTGTTCTCAGTTAATATCCACAGCTCAATAGATTGTGTAAGTAGAATACCCCCAAACTGAAAGTCACCTACATAAAATATAGTGAAAAATATGTCACCCACTTAAACTATAGTTGAAAACATGTACTCATGAGTTTTGTGTAGCTGACACTGGATACTGGGTAAGGGCACAGGATCCCAGGGCTAGACTGCCTGGGTTCAAGTTCCGATTTAGCCACTTGCTGGCTTTGAAATACTTGACAGGTTTAAGCCAAAGTTTCTTTCTTTTCTTCTTTTTTTTTTTTTAACTTAATCCCAAATGTGATAGTAAGTCTCAGTTTCTTGGTTTGAAAAACAGAAATTATTCAATGAGAGCCTATGTGAAAACTTTAAAGGTTTTAAAGCCCCTATCTGGCTGAGGAAAGTCGTCAGCTTTAACTTTTAAAGTTTTTAAAGCCACTGCCTGGCTCAGGAAAGCCCTCAGCTTTAGGCATTAATAGCTATGATTATTATTGTGCTAGCTACACATGCATTAATGAGGCAGGAAAATGTTCAAGGATAACAACCGATACCCAGATTATCTCATTACACCAAGACAGATGTGTATGTATGCATGCTCATGTTTTAGCTCGGAGTCATTTGTCTAAAAGCCTGTTGAACTCAGAGGCCCAGGCAGTATCACCTTTACTTTGTAGTGGAGCCATCACTTTTGTTAATCAATGAAATTGACGTAACGCTCTTTTTTTCTTTTTAGCACCAGCCATGTGCCTAGAGTTAACTGTGTCAAGAAGAGCATGCTTCAAGTGGCTGGAGTGAGCAGTTCAACTTGTGAAGGAATGAGAAATAACAGTGCTGAGACAAGAAACACAACACCCCAGGGTAAGATAGGAATCACTGAAAGTCAGTCAAAGGAACTGGCATCCAGTGATGAGTCAGGCTTTGGCAGCCTCTGGCCCTACAGATGGCTCTTTGGAGAGGAAAAAATTAAGCCAGGCCCAAGGGCACAGATTGTAAGGGAAGGCCGGCAGCTCTAGGCTGTCTACGAGAGTCCAGATTTGCTGCTTCATCCTGGGGCTTTAGGCAAGTCCCCTTTCCTCCCAGAGCTTCAGTATCCCTTCTATCAAATGATGATGTTCTGCCTTTCTCCTAGGATGGCTGTGGAGATCCAGGGAGGCAGTGGCCATAGGGATGCTATGTTAACTGCAGATGCAGCCGTAGGAGCACTTTGCTAACGGCCAACGTGAGTTCAGACTCTTCAGGCTATTTGGCACCCAGGTGTGTGGTGAGGTGTGACATATGGGATGTAAGGTTTGATGCCTGCTCCGACACCAGTCTTGCTAACACACGCTAAACATTTGGCGAATCATGACCCTACCTTGGGGAAAAGGGCATTCTGGGAGAGCTTCTTCAAGGCAGGCTGGCTTCAGTGCAGTCCGGGGCATGACTGAGATAGGCTTACATGGTGAGGAATTGGAGGATAACTGGGTACCCTCCGGGCCAGGTGTGGGATATAATCTCCTGGTGTGCCATTTGCTAAGACCCTTGGTAAAGCGCAGTATTAGGGTGGGAGTTACCCCATCTTCCAGGTGTTGTGTGTCTCAATTTCACTTGGCTAGGAAAAGGAATTCCCTTCCCCCTTACACTTCCCAGGTGAGGTGATGCCTCGCCCTGCTTCAGCTCTCACTGGTTAGGCTGCACCCCCAGACCGGCATCGACTGTCCGACACGCCCCAGGGAGATGAACCCGGTACCTCAGTTGAAAATGCAGAAATCACCCGTCTTCTGTGTCGCTCACGCTGGGAGCTGGAGGCTGGAGCTGTTCCTATTCGGCCATCTCAGGTGCCCCCCTGCCATAGCCCTTTTTGGTATGTCTAAGGGAATTATTCAATGCAGAGACTGGATTGTCTTCTTGGGCCCCACTGATTCTCCTCCC